ATTTTAAAAGTTGTAGCGTACAGGAATAAGGAGAGTTCGGCGATAATACCTGGACGCCCGACCGGAGGTAAAGGTTTAAGACCCCGGCAGGAGAGTACGGCGAACCCCTCCTGGACGCCTGCCGTGGGGTAAAGTTTAAGAGACTCCGGTGGGAGAGTTCGGCGATAATTCCTGGACGCCCACCCGGAGATAACTGTTGATACCCAGGCAGGAGAGTACGGCGAAACCCTCCTGGACGCCTGCCTGGTGAATAGGGGGAGAGTACGGGAGTTTGTTCCTGGACACTCGGTCGACATGGAGAGTTCGGCGAATATTCCTGGACGCCTGTCGACTGAGAGAGGACAGAGCATCTCCTGGACGCCCCAGGTAAAGTACAGGAGAGTACGGGAGAAAACTACTGGTCGCCCGTTCGGAATGGAGAGTTCGGAGAGAATACCTGGACGCCATTCGAACGGGAGAGAACAGAGTTACTCCTGGACGCCTGGTTGACGAAAGGAAAAGATTAGATAGAGAGTAAAATATAGGGAAGGAAAGAGAAAAAGAGAGAGAGAGAGAGAGAGAGTTATGCATTTGTATGTTCTTTGCGTAAATAAAGAAAGAAAATTTGTAACTCTGTTAATTCTTGTATGCCTCTCCTAATATCCTTGAATAAATATTCCTATTTTCCAGAATTCCTGATTTCCTTTCGATTACCTTTGTCTGAGTATCCTATCCCGAGTAAACGATGGCTACAAAGTGAATTATCTAAATTTAGCTAAATTGCTGTAAATTCTATTTGCCTTCATCGATAAACTGAAGCGTGTCGATCGATCAAAATTCAAACGATTGATTATGTGACAAAGCGTAGTTTGGAATTAAAGCGGGGGAATATGACTTAATCAAGTGTTTGAACACTGTCGAAATCTCGATACAGCACGAAGCTTTCCACATAATTGCATGCTTAAATAATTAACGCGATGGGAAACCCAAGTGCAGTAATCAGTGAATTATTCAAGAAATTTAATGGAGCCAATTTCGAAGTACTATCGAGTTTACTATGGTTTGCTTTGTCGATGAATTCTGTCGCGCAATTCTGTTTCACAAGTGTATTCGTTCAAGTTCAAAACAAAAACGAGAGAAATACAATTTGAATCTGATTATAGTATTAAATTGTCATGAGAACGTTAATTGGAATTTAAAATTAAAGAAGAATAATATATGACTAATTGTATTATTAATACGAATACTAATATCGAATATTAATTTAAATATAAAATAAATAAGGGAAAAATCATGTTATTAATGTTAAACCTTAACGATCACACTAGGGTACTAAACAACCCCAGCCAGTTTAGCTTCAATTTAATAATACATTTTTTGAAACACCAAAATTTTTACTTTTATATTTGAAGAATATTCATGTAAAATTTTAGCTCTTTCTATTAAAATCAAGAAAAGTTTTGAATTTTTCTATGAAAACCGTCCTGCTTTCAATTTTTTCACATTTCTTAATTTTTTTGTCATATTGTTTTGTTAAAGCAACTTTCAAAGATTAATTATAATATTTTTCAAGATAAAATGATAAATAGCTTCTTTATAAGAAATTGTTTTAGTGCCAGAGGTGTTAAACATTTTCCCAGTGTGTAAAATTTGTTATTTTGATGAAGTGTAACTGTCAGCAATTAAGCTAATTTCAACCACATTTTAGATCATTCATTTTCGCTACATCTTCTTTGTACACGTTTATACGTCCATGGAGATCAATTTCAAATCCCAAAAACCTACTTTCGAGCCCGAATCACATTATCCCAGCTTTCAACAAATCCTACATTAGTGAAATACTGCATCCTAGTAAATAAATGGTGGCCATCCTCAAATCCTCGAAATCTAGGTTCGAATTTAAATCTCATCATCCTGGCTTTTAGCAAATCCTACCATAGCGAGATGTTGTGTTCTAGTAAATAAGTTATGATCAACCTCACACTTCAATAAATTTAAATTCCGTTTCAAATTATATTATATGTACTCTCAGCGAATCCTGCAATGGTGAGATGTGACGTATAAAATAAATATTTGGTAATTTCAAATCTCAAAAACCTAGATTCCTGTTCAGATACTGTTATCTGTACTTTCAACAAATATACAAGGTGGCTCACCACATTTTGCCATCTAGATTTGCGTCAGCCATCTAGATTTGCGTCATTATTATTACTCATGGCAAACAATGTTTTAGATGAAGTTGAATGGTTTTGAGAGGAGCATATGCTGGTGGTACATTTTTTTTGTAGGTGGACGTGTAAGGGACATATGAAGGTCATTGATATTTTTTTAAATGGAATCATATATATTTTATTGCATCAGCTGATACTCTTTCATATTCTGTACAAAAAAGTATTAATCTATTTTTGTGAAAAATTCATTAGTTTAGGAGATATTTTAATTCTAACTTGTTAGGAAATCGTGACTTTCTGGTCAATATTATGAATTGCCCTAACTGAACAGCAAATGTTTTTCCACATGCTTTGAAAGGTCATGTGTCACCAAACGAATTGTGAGTTTTTGTTTTTTTTTTTGTTACGGAGTAACAGTAAAATTTTGTCTCTGTTATGTCTCTAATACGATGAATACGACAATACGGTGAATTATCTCTTCATATAGTGTGATGTTGCTAACTACTTAAATGCTATGTCACATCTTCTATATTTGTCGAAATAGATAATATGTGACAGTATTTGAATTAAAATCTAGATTCTTGAATTGCTTGCTAACTACGTAAATGGTTGGTAACTATATTCGTTATATGTATACAGGGTGGTTCACCACATTCTGCCACCTAGATTTGCGTCATTATTATTACTCATGGCAAACAATGTTTTAGATGAAGTTGAATGGTTTTGAGAGGAGCATATGCTGGTGGTACATTTTTTTTGTAGGTGGACGTGTAAGGGACATATGAAGGTCATTGATATTTTTTTAAATGGAATCATATATATTTTATTGCATCAGCTGATACTCTTTCATATTCTGTACAAAAAAGTATTAATCTATTTTTGTGAAAAATTCATTAGTTTAGGAGATATTTTAATTCTAACTTGTTAGGAAATCGTGACTTTCTGGTCAATATTATGAATTGCCCTAACTGAACAGCAAATGTTTTTCCACATGCTTTGAAAGGTCATGTGTCACCAAACGAATTGTGAGTTTTTGTTTTTTTTTTTGTTACGGAGTAACAGTAAAATTTTGTCTCTGTTATGTCTCTAATACGATGAATACGACAATACGGTGAATTATCTCTTCATATTGAAGTATTTTAAAGAAGAAAAGATAGACATGTTATCAGTTTATTTTGAAGCTGGGAAAAGTGCTACACATGCAGAAAGATTATACACTACGGAATGTTAGTAAGTCATTAATTTCTCGATTCAGAAAGTGTTCTGATGCAAATGGTCGCCACATTGAACCTTTTTTGTAAATAGACATTAAAATTAAAATATCTCCTAAACCAATGATTTTTTCGCATAAATAGATTAATACTTTTTTGTAAAGAATATGAAGGAGTATCAGCTAAAGGAATAAAAAATATATGATTCCATTTAAAAAAACATTAATGATCTTCATATGTCCTTTACACGTCCACCTACAAAAAAAAATATATCACAAGCATATGCCCCTCTCAAAACCATTCAACTTCATTTGAAACATTGTTTGCTATGAGTAATAATAATGACGCAAATCTAGGTGGCAGAATGTGGTGAACCACCCTGTATACATATAACGAATATAGTTACCAACCATTTACGTAGTTAGCAAGCAATTCAAGAATCTAGATTTTAATTCAAATACTGTCACATATTATCTATTTCGACAAATATAGAAGATGTGACATAGCATTTAAGTAGTTAGCAACATCACACTTCAAACATCTCAATTTCATTTCGAATTGTATTACATTTCATTTACTCCTATAAATATTATGACTTTAGATATTGTAAAATAAATAAATGATAGTTTCCCTCCACACTCATAAACATCGATTCCACTTCAAATTCTATTATATTTTATTTATTTATCATACTATGATAAGATGTTACATACATAAATGGTGACCATAATGCTACAAAAACATTCCACTTTAAATTCTATTATATTTTATTTATTTCAACAAGTACGATAACAGTATGTTGTATCGTAGTAAATAAATGACCTCACATCCAAATTCCAGAACCTTCTCCTAAAAATCCAATTACATGTACTTTCAAGTAATCCTACGATAACGAGATGACACAGCGAATGACTGCGAACTTCAAATCCCAAAAATCTCGAAACAAGTTCAAATCTCATCATCCTTTCAACAAATCCTGCAAATCGAGGTACCATGTGCCAGTAATTAAATGAGGACCTCGAAGACCATAAACCTAAGCTCCAAATCCCATGCTCCTCTTCTCATCAAACTCTGCTCACACCTCTATCAGAGCAATGAAACGTCAACTAGTTTCCAACTTATCCTATCACCATAACGATACAAGTCTACACTCAGATTTCGCATGTGTTTTCCACAATCCTTTTATTAGCGTTAACGTATTTTGGAGGGTCGTCGAGGGTAATTAACCATCGCTATTTTGCTTTCGAACGATTTATGATAGGGATAAACTGCGTGAGGTCTCAACGAAACGTTTATGAGTAAGACAACACACGATAGCTACTGACTTGAAGTGACATGGCTATCGAATGTCGCAGGACTGTTTGTTTGTTAGTTTGCAAGATTATGAAAAAAACAAGCAATTCGCCGTTACATTTATGAATAGGAAGTATTCCTAAAGGATTTGGCCCCGGAAGGGGGAAAGCGAGAATACCTTTTGGTAAGAATTAAACCTCCTTACCCCAGAAGTATACTGACCTTTGCCTTTTACCTTCCCTTAAAAAAAATATTTCTAACACTCGCATAACGTGTCATAATAAAAAGTGAAGACAATAGTCCTAGAGCCTTAGCTTCCCTGTACGATTATTATGCAATGACTTACCGATACAGCATGCGTTCCTGACGATCAGCCTCCCTGTAGATCTTGTAGTACATGGCAATCATGATGATGCCGGGTACCCAGAAGCTGACACTGGAGCTGATGACGGCGTACAGTTTGTTCACTTGGAACACACACACGTCCGGATAATTCCTGCGGTACTCAAGATGCTTTTCTGTGGTGTACCAGCCTGCGAATATGGGCAGGAAGCTCATCACCGTCGGAGAGCACCACACGACGCTCAGCATGGTGCTCAGCCGTAAATTAGTCATGATCAGAGGATAGTCGAGCGGTTGCACGATCGCGTAATACCGATCCACGCTGATGCAGCAAAGATGAAGTATAGACACGGTGCTGAAGAAAACGTCCAACGAGTTCCACACGTCGCACATGAAGTATCCGAACAGCCACCTTCCGGACAGTTCCACCGAGGCGTTGAACGTCATTGCGAAAATGGCGACCAGCATGTCGGCCAACGCCAGCGAGACCACAAAATAATTGGTAATTACCCGAAGCTTGCGGTGCCTCATCACCGACACTATCACCAGCAAATTGCCGAATAGGGCGCAGATGATGATGAATGCCATCACCGTAGCCTTCAGGGTTAACAGGAGGACGTACTCGAGGTCGTGGCTTCTCTGCTGGTCATAGACGTCGTTCGAACGATTCGATTGGCCAGTATCGACGAGGATCTGCGGTAGATCTCCGGGCAAATCGGTCGCGTTCGACGCATCTGGCTCCATCGTCTCGTTCAGCTTCATCCTATTCTAGCGTTTTTCCCTAGGATTTCGTTCCTTCCCTTCTTCACTCCTTCTTCATCTTCGACGTCCCTGATCGTAACTCTAATGCCCATGGGTGAATCAAATGTACCGATTGATTCATAGATTTTTGCCTACCATGCAACTTCGAGTGAAGTTCGCGAAGGAAGTTCGGTTTACATGAGCTGAGAGTTGAATCCAGGAGAACTCTGTTAGGATATACTCCAATAACAAGGTAGGTTCTCCGATGAATTTTGATTCGATACACGTTCCTGGGATGTGGAGGAGACCAGCTGCGTCTTTGTTCGTCGCTGGAACATCGCGGTGGCCTGGAAGACAAAGGAATCGGTTTCGTGAAGAGTCTCGTTACTTTGAGAAGAAAATTTGATGGAATATAAATATTTGAAGGTGTACGTATAGGTAAAGTATACACAGTTATATATCATGGTGGATGGTGCTGAAGTGACATGTAGTGAATTACTTCTTTATATACTTCGTCTATTACCTGTTTGATCTAATATTAACTCGATTTAAATATTTCTTGTTGTAATATTTTTTGTATGGGTTACATAGGTATGATCGCATCGATCATTTTTTGAATAATAGAAAGATGTTTTGATAAATCGCTTTATGATACAGTTTAAAAATCATTGTTGTTGTACCTTAGGTTTTATTATACTATTTTGGTATATTTTGTCTTGATCGTAGTGTATTATAGTCTTCTGTACTTTTCATATATGTAAATATGTTACGTTGTAATTCTGTGCAGAAAAAGCATCTCGCGATAAAAAATTCTCTGAGCTTACCTCTACTACCTTATCAATTCTAGTATAATAGTATAGTCGTATAATGGTAAAATTGAATAGTGGAATAGAAATTTGGTGAAATGAAATAAGAGCATATAAGTGTGGTAGTACAGTAGTATACTATTATAGTGGTGTTGCGACAGTATAATAGTATAGTACAGTTATAGCATAGTAATATACTGCATAGTAGGAATGCAGTATATGTATTGTAATGTAGTGTAGTATAGTATCATAGTAATATAGTAGTGTAGTAGTATAGTAGTATAGTGGTATAGTGGTGTAATAGTATAGTAGTATAGTAGTATAGTAGTATAGTAGCATAGTAACATAGTAGTATAGTAGTATGGTAGTATAGCAGTATAGTAGTGAAGCAATACAGTAGTAAAGTATAATAGTACAGCAGTACAGTAGTATAGTAGTATAGTAGTACAGCAGTAGAGTAGTATAGCAGTATAGTAGTATAATAATGTGGTAGTGTAATAGTGTAGTAGTACAGTAGTATAATAATATAACAGTGTAACACTACCATGTAGTACAAAAATAGTAATGCGGTATAGTCTAGTATACCATAGTATAATGTAATATAATACAGTCTAGCATAGTGTAATATAATATAGTATAAATTAGCACAGATTAGCCGGGATAAACAAACGGAATTACGAAGTAATAAAGTCGTAATATATTCCATATTATAATAGCAGAATAATAGCACAAGAGTGTATCGATACAGTAAAATACCTAACAGAATAATGAAGTAATGAAGCACCAGTCAAGATCCAGAAAGCAAATAAATAATATGAAAATCAATATCAATATTGATTTCAAAGAAAATTTCATTATTCAATCGTTTAATTACGAAACAATTATTTTTCTCGGTAGAATTGTCTGAATTCTACGTTACTTTTATTGCTAATTATCCCGAGTGTCAATTGAATAAACGTGGAACGGTTACGTCAACGAAGCAGACAGTTTTATCAGGAAACAACGATCCAACTGCGTTTTTCCAATCGATGGGAGGATTGGATTTCGAACGAAATGGGATTGCAGATTCACTGAAACAATATTTTGAGAAAATATAAATAATCGTTTGTGATCAGAATATTATTGATCCCAAGAGGATTGTAACGTTAAACAAACATAATTTACTTCAGCCCGCTCGATTTCACAGCGGGATTAATTCGCGAACGACGATGCGCAGGTAACATTTTATTTTTTTTATTATTTTGATATTCTGCTGTACTGTTTTACTATAAGAAAATAAGTTTCATATGAATTCGTTTTTTTCTAAATGTTTTAATGTAATTTTCATTTTTATTTGGTTATGTATTAGGTTGAGAAATCAGTTTGGAGCGTTTTGACATTTTTTTTTTTTTACAGCGACATTTTGCAATTTGCAAGAGGTTATAATATTCATTCGATAGAGCTCGTTCTGCTCTACAAAACTGTGTTAATCGTTTTTTTCAGTAGATTCATTCGTCATTACTATTGAGGCTCAGAAATGGAATATCAAGAAGGTAAAAAGCAGCATTTTCGACACCTGCTCTTCTTCGCTTTCCATCGCGGCCAAAACGTTGTGAAAAGTTGTGAAAAGTTGCTGAAACAGGCCGGGATATTTTCAATGTATACGGAGAAGGTATTATAGGTGAGTCGACAGCACGGAAATGGTTTGCAAAATTCAACCTAAGGTTGGGCAGTAAGTTCGTAGCGTTCACTTTGTGAGCCACCCAGGCTCCCAATTTTTCGACAAATCCCATTGAATGAAGATAATTGAGAATAGTTTTGTGGTCACAGTTCATTTTTCGACCAATTCACGACTAGTTTGAGGACCATTCTGCTTCACAAGTGCTCGGAGACGCTCTTCGTCGAACACAGATGGTCTTCCGCTGCGGCGCGGGGTTTCAACGTTAAAATCGCCATTTTTGAATTTTGCAAACCATTTCCGTGCTGTCGACTCACCTATGACACCTTCTCTGTATACATTGCAAATATCCCGGGCTGCTTCAGCAGGTTTTTGGCCGCGATGGAAAGCGAAGAAGAGCAGGTGTCGAAAATGCTTTTTACTTTCTTAATATTTCATTTCTGAGCCTCAATAGTAATAACGAATGAAACTACTGAAAAAAACGATTAACACAGTTTTGTAGAGCAAAAAGAGCTCTATTGAATGAATATTATAACCCCTTGCAAATTGCAAAATGTTGCTGTAAAAAAAAGAAAATGTCAAAACGCTACGAACTTATTCCCAACCTAATAGAATTCACTCTTTTTATTGTACCAAACTTAATTCTTGTATTATCAGATTTTCATATTTACAAATTCTAAAATATTTAAGTTTTTACATTTTTCTCGGATTATCTAGATTTCTAAATATTCAATCTCTCAATTTTCCCTCTCCCCGAAATCCCTAAATCTTCAAAATTTTCACTTCTAACTCTCAAAGTACTAAAATTCCAAGGTTTCCAAATATCTAGCCCTAAAGGATCTAAATTTCTAGGTCCTCAAATTCTGACTTATTCAAGTTTCTAAATTCTTAAATTCTCAGAACCCCATATTCGTAACTCCCTAAATTCCAAAGTTTTTAAAACCTAAATTCCCCAAATACTTATGTACGAAAATTTGTAAACTCTCAAATTCCCAGACCCCTAAATTCATATTTTTTCAAATTTCTAAATCCCCAAATTCCAAGATCCCTAAATTTCAAAATTTTTGAAACTTAATTTCCCTTAATTTAAATACATTCCCCATTTCTAAATCCCAAAGTCCCTCGATTCTTGAATTCCTATTTTTTCAAATTCCTAGATTCCCATATTTGCTGATGTAAACTATTCTCAAATATGTTTTTCTTAATTCTAGATCTCGAAATTCTTAGACTTCTAAATATCTACTTCATCAAATTTCTAAGTCTCCAAATTCTTAGATTCTCATATTCGCAAATCCCTAAATCGCAAAGTCTCCAAAACACAAATTCGCAAAGTACTTATGTTCGTAAATTCTTAAATCCTCAAATCCCTAGATTCCTAAATTTGTACTTCAACGTCTAAATCTTCGAATTCCAACAGTTCCATATTTCTTAAATCCCTAAACTCTTACGTTCACAAATTCCTAACCCGCCCCGACATTTTCAAACCCTCAAACGTCTAAAAATAAAAGTGAAAGACCTTTTTCCCTTGATTGCCATATTTTCCATAAGAAAAATAAATGTGCTCTTACCCGTACCTTCTAGTAGGCTATAAAAGTATACCTTATTTTCAAAATAAATATTTCAATAAATGTTTTCAAACGAGAGTTATGGTTTTTTAAAGAAATTCCTCACATTTTACTATTTTGACAGCAGTAATTTTTACAGGGAATAATTGGAAAAACCAACGGTTGTAAAAAGTCGAGCTAAATTCGCGCAATAAAACAAAATAAATAGGGTAGAATTTTGCACGGTAAAAAAGCCTCGAGGATAATCCATGAAATATGTTTAAACTCTCACTTAATTTCCCCTGTAGAAGAGTATCATCTTTTTAAAGTGTTTCTTTTTTATCCTCTCCCGTCTCTTGTATTAGCGATATTTTCATAAAAGATGTCGCTTAAACACAACGGTGAACATGGAATAAAAATTCACGATGCCGGACGAATTCGCGTCCGTTAAGCATCGATTAAACGTCGACGATTTAATTTGTCACCGTGTAATTGGCTTCGTTAATGAGATTCAACAACGAAATGGAATTTATGAATAAATTTTCAGCCGCGATTATCTTGCCGGGATTAACCGTAATTGCATTGCAAATGGTTTGCACAACGGTTTCGAGGCTTTTGTTCGAGGACCAATCATCGATCGGTTGTTTCGTGAGTGTCAAAACGCATAATTGCAATACCAGCTTGATGCGAATTCGAGATTTCGACAAATCGAAACCTTGCCGAAGCCATTAATCTGTTAACGCAATCACTTCTCGGTCGGAGAACGTCAAAGCGTTAAGTGCAAAAAACTTCGTTCTGATTTTGTACGAATCTACAGGGTGGTTCACCTAAAATAAATGTTATACAGGGTGGCTCGCCACATTTTGCCATCTAGATTTGCGTCATTATTATTACGCATAGCAAACAATGTTTCAAATGAAGTTGAATGGTTTTGAGAGGGGCATATGCTTGTGATATATTTTTTTTTTGTAGCTGGACGTGTAAAGGACATATGAAGGTCATTGATGTTTTTTTAAATGGAATCATATATTTTTTATTGCATCAGTTGATACTCCTTCATATTCTTCACAAAAAAGTATTAATTTATTTACGCGAAAAAATCATTAGTTTAGGAGATATTTTAATTTTAATGTTTATTTACAGAAAAGGTTCAATATGACGACCAATTGCATCAGAACACTTTCTGAATCGAGAAATTAATGACTTACTAACATTCTGTAGTGTATAATCTTTCTGCATGTGTAGCACTTTTCCCAGCTTCAAAATAAACTGATAACATGTCTATCTTT